TCCTCTGTTAGCAAATGTGGAGAAATCTTTGATAAGGATATCCTTAATTAAATCTGGATCTTTTACAATAAGAATTGGAGTTTTTCTAGCGAATATCCCAATCATAGGTTTATCTTTATGCTCGTTATATAATTTTGTCGTATAATCGCCCATAGATAAATTATTAAACATAATGTCTTTAAAATTGCCGAATCCTGGTGTCGGTTGCGGACCAGGAACGCCACGTGACTTCCAAAAGTCATAACTTGACGTGAGGAAATAATAAAGAGCGATAATTACGGCGGCGATGCCGCATAGAATTTCGAAGGGTTCCATTGTTCGACAATCGTCGATCAGTTATCACGATGATCTTTACTGAAAGGAAAAAAAAACATTTGGTTATATAAACGTCTTATAGTCTTGAAATTATAAAATTTAATGAAGTACTATTATCTTTAACAAGTCATGAGTTTAAATTACATTTGATGACTATTGTTCTTAAACTAATATTGAATTGGAGAAAACTTATTTAGAGAAAACTTTAATTTAGCGTGCCTTCTGGAGATACCTCAAAGAAGCGTTTTTTAAAATTTATAAACTATTTCAAATATTCACATGCATTATGCAATATTGATATTGACATTCAATAATCTATAAAATTCGTTGATATATTAACTGTTCCAAATTGATACCTTATCACTCTGGTATCACAGATATCATTTTCTTCGTATTATATGTTGGTACAAAGTCTCTCATTTTTTATATTTTGCAGCTGACGACTAAATAACTGACTTGTACTTAAATGTTATTTAGAAGTATTACATCTCTCAGTCTTTATATCTTTTATGACGCTAATGCGAAAGATAATAAGGTAATCTGAAGATGTTTGTTTGGAAAAAAAACTTTAGGACGAATTAATACTTGCACAAATACACAACCAACGTTGCGTCATCAAAATTCAAAATTAGAAAAATTGAATGAGGAAAAAAGTTGGTACATAATGCACAATTACTTCTCAATATAGCGCGCTTAAATACATGCAAATCATCTTGAAATATAAGGCGAAGAATTTATCGCCGGCCAAATGAGATTTTTTTATAAATTTAATTTGATGACCACGCAATCTGTTACGTGGCAATTATTTACATTTCGCTCGCTTGTCGCTTAATATTTTCCACGATACTGGAGTAGAAAAAGAAACGAAAAAACGTGAAACAAGAGATCGTTCTATTGTTTTACAATTCAAGCCCGTCCTCGACCTCGAGCAGTGCACGATACATCTAGTAGCGCAGTGGGGATAAATTACGAGAAGTATAGCAGTCACAGACCCGTCAATGTTACTTTGATGACGACATTATTCAATACATGAACGAATGACTGAATGCAGCACATGTAACGCACGCGCGATGCAAAGTAAACCATTGTTCATCAGGGATTGAGAGGATTCGTTGATAACGCTAGACTTATGTAACGTATACGTATATGATGTAATACTTCCGAGATAAAATAAATAATACTGTCAATAACATCGATATCAATATCGTTTCATCCGTCGCGTAATAACGTTTCGGAAAGTAGAAAATATTGCGTCGAAAAAATCGCGAGATCGATTCCTCTCCGCTTCGTAGCGATTCCGGTGGTTTCTTCGCTGATGATGATGATGATGATAAATAAACATGTGATGAAGTGATTTCTTTCAACACACATTCGATGATGAAATTCGACGTTGGTACAAGCATTGAACGTGACATACCTGAACGCGGATGGCGGTGCGACGTAATTGCATCTCTGGGAGATATATTGCGCCGTGTACCAGCTTGCGTCGGCTCGTAAGTGAACACGCAACGTTGTAACTGGAGATTCAACCAACCGTCGCCGTCTCGTGTGGAATTATAAGCGCCAGCGCTCTAGCGCGAGGAGAGTATGTGGACAAGCATGTGACTCACGATGAATTGTGGAAACGGTATCTTCAAGATTTATCTCTCTCCGACGCATCTAGTGTGTCTTATCGTGACTCTGCAAGTACCGATACTCGGAAAAATCGATTAGATAACATCATGTTACACTTACTTAATATACATATGTATGTTAACATGCAGATTTCGGTGCTGAGCTTTTGACGGTTTGTTTAATCATATTGCGAATAAATGCATCGATTAAGTTAAATATCCCATATAGGGTTTTACAATCGGCCCAATACTACGCTAGTATTAGTTGTACTGGCGCAGTATTGAGCCGATTGTGTAAAACCCTACATGGGATGTAGTGAAAACATCTTCTTTTATGATGATCTATTCTATACTCCCTTCGGCTGTACAATTAGCCGCAATTGAGCGAAATATAAAGGAATTACAGGATCTTGTTCAAGAAGCGAAAGAGAATAAGAAATCACCGCGGATATTAATTTTGCGGTAACGAAAAACTCTCGAAGCATTGCTATCGACGACGAAGTTTCAAAGCCAGCAATAAGATATCTATATGCTTGTGAAGTTATTAAATTATCTGTCAAATTTAATCTGAAACGTCATTTCTTCAAAACTATGAATAACTTAACTTTCTATTTAAAAAATTAATGAATTAACAATACATATGTAATAAATTTATTACTTTTAAATGTATTTTTCTCTTATTATGTTCTGAAGAAGACAAAGTGAGTACATAGTCGAAACGTATACAGTCGGATCTTAAATTTAAGACCGTCTTAAGATGAGCATTTTATGAAGCAATACAGCCGTATTAGCATCTTAAGATATTACTTAAAACGATTTTGAAATAAGAACAGGCTATGAATACTGGCTCAGAGACCTTAGGCCGCGTCTACAATCAGTCGTATGTCGTAGTCGGATGTCGAAACGCAGCCGATGGTCCAAATCGAGGAAAATTTGTTTTCGAAAAAGTTTTCGATTTTGCAACTGTCTCTATGTAAGCTGAGATATTTTGCAAAACATTTTCTAGACAAGGACAAAATATTTTTAAGAAGGGTAATTTTATTATAAGACCACTAAGTATATAATTTTATATAATAAATAGAATTGCAAGAATAAGTATTACATATTGCACCAAAAGTTTTGAATGCACTTGCTCGAGGATTATAAAGATTTTAGGCAAATATTTTTTCATTATATATTTTAGTTGATTTGTTTGTATTATGAAAACCTTTCTCATAAACATCGTCTAGACATTTTAAATTTTATGTTTCTCTGTTTTGTATTTTAGACTACCAATGACGTTTTAGTGTTATATCTCGAAACTTTTTTGCAAATTTGAAACGTTTCTGAAACACTTATATTTAGTTTTGTGTTGGGCGGGCGTTTAACTGAAGAAATAAAGAAAACAATTTTTTAAAAGATTACATATGTTATTAAGATATATATGTAACAGCATAAACTTACAATTATCTAATTAATCACCATTTTACATAAGACGTAAATGCACAACATTAAAAAAATTAATAACTATGTATTACAGAATGACGTCTATCAATTGACAGATTTTCTTCATTTTTTATTACGCTTTCGGTGGAGAGTTGGAGAAAAACTTGAAAAAATTAAGGTCGATTAATTTTAATTATTTTCAAGTGTAGTCCGCCCTTTGGCGTTAATATGAGTGCTCTAGGATCGTTTACGTAGGGTATTGGAGTTTTCTCGCAAGTCTCGACTTTGTAATTTCGTAGTATCTTTACAAGTCCAACTTTACTCTGAGAAACAGCGAAACGCGCTCCTGAAAATAAAAGAACGATCATGATGTAAATTTGATTAAAGTTTTCGATTAAAAGTACTTTTATTTGAAAAATATGTAACAAATTAAAAATATTTTTTTATTAAAAATTTTTTTCTGCGTGGAAGGAAATGAAAAGAGATATTTCAGATTATTTCACTATACCAATGCAATTTCTTGGCCCGTCGCCAAAAGGTAGATAAGCCATCGGGTGCCTGTTTCGCACAGTTTCTTCATTAAATCTTTCTGGATCGAAGACATCTGGCTTTGGATAAATATCCGGATCTCGATGAATCGCGTAAACGGGAATCCATACCTTTTGATCTTTCGGTATACTAACTTTAGTACCATCGAAAGTATAACTCGACATGGACTTTCTCATAAGCATTGGCCCCGGCGGATATTTTCGTAATGTTTCTATATGCATTAAGAATAGTGTTAAATTGTGAAAATATTGAAAAACTGCAATTAGATTGAAGTTTACTGGCAATGATATCATATTACAATATCGCTAAAAAAATATGTAGCATATATATTATTCTTCAAACGACATACCTTTGAAAACTTTATCTAAGTAATCCATTTTTTTTATATTATCGTACGTTAAGTCTCTACCATGTTTTGCATACATCTCATCAATTTCTTCACGCAGATTATCTTGTATTTTCTGATTTAATGCTAACTCGTAGAGCACATTGCTGATAGTCGCCGACGAAGTTTCAAAGCCAGCAGCGAAAAATACAAACGCTTGAGCAGCTATTAAACTATCTGTCAAATCTAAAATATCATGTTTTTATTAATTTACCAGTAATATTAATATATCAATATATTAATTTAATGTTGTTTGAGATTATAGCTAACCCAGATAGCTAAACCTGCGCAGACAGATTCTAAGCAGAGCTTGCAGTAAATTTTTCATGTCAGAAAGACAACAATTTTCATACAGAAGCTGCTCTATTAGACGATGTTGTCAAACTGTTACCAGAAATATGACAGAATCTGTTTACATTGCCTGTCAGTAGGCACTGTCTGCGCGGTTTCTGTTGTCTGCTAACATAATCTGCGTTCTGATCAATGCGTTATCAATCTGTCGACATACACTGCTATATCCTTTTGTTTACTGGGTAATCACTTAACAATACATATATGTATATATTTTTATTATTTTCATAGCTATATTATGTTCAACCGGCAATTATTGTCGGTCGTACTACGGCTGTAATAATGAAGTCGCCATGAAAGTAAAAGTCAACTTTATTTTATTATGATTTATAAAATTACTTTTAGACACATAAAAACTCATATGATTTTTTCATGTAAAATATAATCCTATGGCGGATAAAAGTAATATATAAACATACATACCAATATCGCCCAATTTATCTGGATGTTTCTTTAATTCGCGCAAAATATCAATGAAATCATTTCTAGTAATATTATTCGTTTCTCTGTAGTCCATGGTCTCCACGATAACGCGTGTGAAGAATTTGGTGGTTTCTGTTTGCGGTAGGACGTATGATGCGAACAATTTGTAAAGCCACGGAAACATTTGTCTTATTCTCATTCTTATCCCAGTCGGATTGAATACTTTTCTTCCCATCTTGCGAAATTCACTGTCTTCGTCCGACAAAGCGTTCATCTCGATACCGAAAGCACAGCTGCCGATAACGTCGGTCGTATATTTGGCCGTCAACTCGCGGCACTCGACAGGTTTATTTTCGCTCACTACTTTTTCCATGTATTGGACAAGGTTATCAGCACATTCTGATATTAAAGAGAACATTTCCTTTAGTTTACCGGATGTAAAAACAGGTGACAGATTCATTCTCAACGGTCGCCACCTCTTCGGCTCCAAATGAAAAAGATTTTGCGACAGCGGATCGGCCTGTGACAAAGAAAGTATTGTAAACAAGTAAATTTAACTTAAAATCAAATAGTTCTGTAACAATAAGTTACAGAAACTTGCATAAGTCTCTTGGAGTTCACATCTCGCATTTTTTAATAAGTCTTATTATACGAAAATTAAACAAGTATATATGAATCTTTTTAAAACAGATGCGACATGTGTGTTTTGTTTATATTTTCTTTGGATATATGTATTTAAATGTAATAGCCTAAAATATCCTCACCTTTTCGGAAGTGGGCATTCCTCTGTTAGCAAATACGGAGAAATCTTTGATAAGGACATCTTTAATTAAATCTAGATCTTGTATAACAAGAACTGGTGTTTTTCTATCGAATATCCCAATCATTGGGTCTTTGTAGGTGTTATACATTTCTGCCAAATAATCGCCTACATACACTGAGAAAAAAAATTGGTTGTACGGATTAAATTTGTATAGTTGTTGATCCAATGATTGATTCAACAATAATTAAGTTGCACTAAAAAAGGTATAGTTCATTTATGTCAACTATCAACATTTGTTAATCAAGAATTAGTTAATTCAACTAATGTTTAGTTGAACGTATCGGACTAAATATTTTAGTTAAATGAAACACATTTTCCGTTTTTCAACAAATTTTTTTTCTCAGTGTGTTTTATTAAGTACGTCTTTAAAATTACCCTGCCACGGTATCGGTCGTGGACCACGAACGCCACGTGACTTCCAAAAGTCATAACTTGACGTGAGGAAATAATAAAGAGCGAGAATTACGACGGCGATGCCGCACAGGATTTCGAAGAGTTCCATTGTCCAGCAGTCGTCGATTAGTTATTACGAATATTCTTTACTGAAAGAAAAGGAAGAAGATCGTTTTGTTATATAAACCTTCGTCTTGTTGAAATTATAAATTTGGATGAAATTTAATCAAAATTTATCTTAAACAAAACATGAGTTTATATTAGATTTGATGAATATTATTCTTAAATAAATATTGATTTAAATAATATGTATTTAATTTAGCATGCGTCATCTGAAGATTACAGTATCGAAGAAACGTTCCTTTAGTTGTAAACCATTTAAAATATTCATATGCATTATTAGTAATATTGATATTGATAGTTTCAATTATTCAACTTTGTTCGTATATTAACCCTTAAACACATACTTTCCAGTCTGTAACATTAGTACATAACGGAGGTATGCCATACTTGACTCGCGTATTTCAACTATAACTTTGCGTCCTGTGTGTCAATTTTAAACCCCTTTTTTTTTTAAATTGTGTGCTAAACTGTAAGGAACAAGACCATGTACATAATTTTGTGATTTAACGTTTACCTTCAAAGATATTTGCAAATAAGTCGAATGAAGTCGTAAGAAAATTTTGCAAAAATTACTTTTTTTTTTAAATTTATAACTTAAAAAAAAACCGATAAAGACATTTTATTAACGGATCTTGAAAGTACAAAAATGATAGTATATTAAAAAAATACGTCATAATTATTTGTTCCAAAGAGTTGAATTATTTGACATGGTGAACTTGGACAATTTTAAACTTTTTTAGAGCATTTCAATTATGTGAAAAAAAATCCTGTAATTCTGAAACTAATTTATACAAAATTTCAAGACTTTATGTCTATAGTTTTTGCGATTGATAAATATAATTTAAAAGTTAAATTTGGCTTTAAAAACTTGGCGTCAACAAAATGACGAACATGAGAACCATACATATATTTAATTGTTTTACAGAAATAGGTTAAAAATAATTTAAAATTACAATATAATTCTTTGAAAGTAATTTATTTTTATAAAAAAAAAATGAATGACGTTGCTATCTCCGAAGTACCGCGTGACTTCGAACGCGTTTCCATTGCATTCCGTATATTATAATCTGAAATAATCCGTATTGTAAGATTATAACCTCAAATTATCTGCAAAGCATGAAACTGTTAAAAAATAAAACATGTTGCGGTAAATAAATAAAATGAAGTATGCCAACAAATTCCACTAACACATAACGGGGGTATAACGTACCCCAAACAAACTTTCTTACCTTTTTGCTCGACTTCTATAGCGAGACTGACGCTGCCTTAACTGGACGTTCAAGACGAAACCTGAAAGTTTTTTTTATCGACCCATACCCAGACCACTATCATCACCCATTCCGAAATGGCGTTTATTTAAAAAATCGACCGGGTATGGCATACCCCATCTGTATGTTTAAGGGTTAACTGTTATGTTGATATTAATTTGATACCGTATTCTGGTATCACAGATATTTTCTTCGTATTGTATATGTTTAGTACCAAGTATCTTCCGAAATTTCCGATATTTTACAATCGACGATTTAATAACTGATATACACTCAAATGTTATTAAGAAGTTATTACGTGAGTCTCGTATTATTAGAGATGACAGATAATACAGGTAATCTAAGTTCGTCCGGGAAAAGACGCTAGAACGAATTAATGTTTGTACAAATGCGCAACCACGTTGCGTCATCAGAGTTGAGAAATAACTAAAAGAAGGAAAAAGTATAGGCAATTAAAATATATGTTTATCAATACGATCGATATTGTTTTATTTTTCGCGATGTTTCGGTATAAGGAGAAAATATCGCGAGATCGATTCCTCTCCGCTATAGTGACTCCGGTGGGCGGTTTCTTCGCTGATGATGATGATGATGAATGTCAGTGCGATGAAGTAATTTCTTTCAACACATATATATTCGAGGATGAAATTATAGAATTTGTTTCTTCTTTTCTTTTTTGAAATTTGATGTTGGTGCAAACGACGGACATGCCATACCTGAACGCGGATGGCGGTGTGATGTAATTGCATTCGTCATCATATATTGCGTTGTACATCAGCTCGCGTCAGCCCGTAAGCGCGAACCTGTAGTCTTGTACTAGCTCACGCGACGGTGTAATGGCCTTCGCACAATGAAAAATACAAGGAACAAGGAACAGATATTAGCGATTAGGAATAAGAAATCAGGAATAAAACTGGTGTAGCATTGATACACGGCTTCCGATAGGTTGAAAAACTATTACCTGTGTTATATTCCCTGTTTCTGATGCCTGTATTTTTCATCGTGCATTCAACTTTATTCTTGATTCTTTAGTCCTAATCGCTAATATCTGTTTTTCATTGTGTGGAGGCCTTAACTGGTGGTAATTCAACTAACCGTCCCGTCTAGATCGTGCGAAATTATAAGCGCGGACGCTCCAACGCGAGGAGAGTATGTGAGTCACAATGAATTGTGGAAACGGTTTCTGCAAGACTTATCTTCCTTCTTCGCATCTAGTGTGTGTTATCGTGACTCTGCAAGTAGCGATACTCGAAAAGTCGATTGGATAACATCATGTTACACCTAATATACATATGCATGTTAACATGCGGATTTTGGTGCTGAGCTTTTGACCGTTTTGTTTAATCATATTGCCAATAAATGCATCGATTAAGTTAAATATATAGTGAAAACATCTTCCTTTATGATGATTCCTTTATGCTCCTTTCGGCTGTACAATTAGCCGCATAGCGAAATATCAAGGAATTACAGGACCTTGTTAAAGAAACGAGAGAGAACAAGAAATTGCGGATATTAATTTTGCGGTAACGAAAAACTCTCGAAGCATTGCTAATATCGATGACGAAGTTTCAAAGCCAGCAATGAAATGTCTATATGCTTGTGAAGTTATTAAATTATCTGTCGAATTTAATCTGAAACGTCATTTCTTCAAAACTATAAATAACTTAACTTTCTATTTAAAAAATTAATGAATTAACAATACATATGTATAATAAATTTATTATTTTTAAACGTATTTTTCTCTTATTATGCTCTGAAGAAGACAAAGTGAGTACATAGTCGAAACGTATACAGTCGGATCTTAAATTTAAGACCGTCTTAAGATGAGCATCTTAATTATGAAGCATTGGTATAGAGCCGTATTCGAGGCCGTATTAGCATCTTAAGATATTACTTAAGACGATCTTGAAATAAGAAGAAGAGAAATAAGAAATAAGAACAGGCTATGAATACCGGCTCAGAGACCTTAGGCCGGTTCTATGTACAATCAGTCGTATGTCGTAGTCGGATGTCGGAACGCAGCCGATGGTCCAAATCGGGGAAAATTTGTTTTCGAAAAAGTTTTTGATTTTGCAATTGTCTCTATGTAAGCTGAGTTATTTTGCAAAACATCTTCTTGACAAGGACAAAATATTTTTAAGAAAGGTAATTTTATTATAAGACCACTAACAATAAGTATATAATTTTATATAATAAATAGAATTACAAGAATAAGTATTATACCTTGCATCAAGTTTTGAATGCACTTGCTTGAGGATTATAAAGATTTTAGGCAAATATTCTTTCATTATATTTTTTAGTTGATCTGTATATGTATTATGAAAAGTTTTCTCATAAACATCATGTAGACATTATTTTATGTTTCTCTGTTTTGTATTTTAGACTATAACCAATGACGTTTTAGTGTTATCTAGAAACTTTTTTGAAAATTTGAAACGTTTCTGAAACACT